GAATGTTCACCGAAAGGACAGAACTGGACTGCCACATGCTGTCCTGAAATACCAGTTAGCAGGAAGAAGAAACCAAGAACGTCCATTTAAAAGGTTTCTGGATGGATGAAGGAGGCCGTAACAGGCCATAAAGCCAAACTCTCTGACAGAATTATGATGATGATGATGATCATCATCATCATCATCATGAAGTTTATTTGGCGCTGTGACGTGCATGTATTGCAGAATTTTCCAGTTATATAAATTTGGTATTCTGGTATCTTTACTTCTGTAGCAGATACTACTCTTTGGCTGGTCTGTTATATCCATGTTCAGAGTATTCAGTTCAATTAATTATATTTACAGTTTCCTAATTAGTTACCCTGCTCGGACAAGATTATCTGTTGTAGACATGAGGTCGTATTCAGACTGCCCGGTTTCGTGGGGGAATAAAGGCAAAAGTTACGGCATTGCAGGCCTTGACCTTCACTTTCCAGTAGCTGTGAGGTGTTAAAGATGGCCGCCCAAGTAGAGATTTAGAGAGGTGTATGTTTTTTTATTCTTTGTTTTGTTAAAGTGGCTTCAGTTTATTGATAGGTGGACAACCTGCCCGAGGTGCATGCCATCGCACGAAGTCCATTAATGCCGTCTGTGTTGAGCAGAGGTAGGCTACTGCCGCGCACTCTGCAGTCCCTGCTTGTCATATCATTATGATGGACAGGACACTCGCGTTACTTCTGAGGAAAATACAGAGTAAAACAGGAAAAATTGTAACGTGCTACATTCAACAGTAAATTGGTGCAAATTAAAATGTTACTTTAGAAGTTGCATGATTCCGGATAGAGTTGTTATGGCTACTTTCGTTGTGTATTTAATGATGTGGTCGCCATCGCAACCCAGTTCATTTCACCTCCCATCTCCACAACCAGTCTCCCATGGACGTATTATTGGCATCCCAGCTCTGCTCTGTCCTCCAGATGGACAGTTTACGTTTCTAACGAGTTGTCACCGCCTAAATTCAGTATAATTTCCATTTATCTCCCATCCTTAGCACTGAAGATGAAAGCATTATGTTCCTCCAAAACGTTGTTACGAACCTGCAAGTCTACACGGCGTCACAGCAAAAGACTACCACCTCCCTCTTTCTTTCTTTCTTTCTTTCTTTCTTTCTGTCTTTCTTCCTTCCTTCCTTCCTTCCTTCCTTCCTTCCTTTCTTTCTTTCTGGGTCTTTAAGAAATATGGTGTGGACTGACTTACTGTAAATTGGTTGTGAAAGGGAACTGACTAGTGGTGACCTCTCGTGAAGATAATAATGAACCTTTATTTTCCATAAAAGACGTGGAATGTCATGCGTGTTGAGTGGCAGCTTCTCGAGAAGGGCTCTGCTCATTTGGAGTTAGCAGTTTGAACACTACGTTGCGTGGAACAAAGCTCGGAAAGCGTATTCCGTACCGGAATACACATAATATCCTCATGCGTTCTTTGCACTGTGCATTAAGAGGTATTAAACCCGCCTTTTTTGATAATTCCCACGCTGGCCACCAGATCGCAACCCCCCAGTGTCTACCTCACGACTTTTCTCGACCTTCGTTTTGTTACTACCGCCCGTAGCATATTGAAAAGTGCGATTTTGAGGCCGTGCAGAATAGCACTACCTGCGCAAGAAATTTAATCCAAATCCGTCCAGTAGTTATCGAGTTGGATCGACTGTACAGACGGACGGACAGGCACGACAAGCCCACAGTGCGTTCTCGCTATGCACTTCGTGCAAAGAACGCACAACGACGCGTTGTAAGGTGAGATGGAAGGAAATTTTCTGCTCCAGAGTTCGTTAATTTTTATTTTAAGCCTGGCAGACGTGGGCTCTGCCATCGGAGATTTTATGGCAATTGTACAAGGCCTTGCAAAGGGAGGGGGGTGTGAGCCGGGGGCGTCGCAAGAGAATGAGTTATCAAAAATATTGGAGGAGGGCCCCAAATGGAGCTTTGCCCCCGGGCCCGTGCATACCTTTGCACGCCCCTGCAGTGGTATATATAGAGCTTGTTTTGGGAACTGAAATATTATAGGTTGGCAAATTTTATGTCTGATATATTAACCGTTCTGCTACAAATTCCGTGTTACAACAAAAGTAACATTATGGTGACCTGTGATACGAGTTTTATTGTATCAAGGCCGTACATAAGACTGGGCCCGACCCATTTTGTTTGCTTATTTTTCTCTCTCCCCTCCCTTTGCAGTTAAAATTCGTGTTGTTTATTGTGCTTGCATACTTTCGTGGGAAAGCTGTTGAGGCATGTGGTATGTTTCATGTTTGGTGTCCCTTTCTTCCCACCATAAACTTAAATTCCACGGAGTTGTTTACATGCACGGCACGATATAAAATTCTTTTCACGTGCAGACTTGAACTCGCAGATTCGCGTCACGAGCACAATCAGGGTGACATTTTATGCATGTCCATGCTACACACTACGTTACAGTAGAACAACAAAAATTTCATCCATGTTATGTACTGCATTATTCCACAGTATGCATGAAGTTGAATTACTGAATGAGTGAGTGATCGTTTCCTCATTTCCTGTAAGATGTTAGTTTTTACCATGTGCTCGATAGTGCCTACTCGTAGAATATTATGGAACTATGAAAGTCAGTGCATTGTTAGTAACAAGCATTTGTGCATATTATTAAATTCAGGTTCTTGATATGATTTGAGGTTTTTGCCACAGTGAAAACGTGGATTGTGATCTGGGCTGTGATGCCCTGATTGATTTTAATAACAACCTCTGAGACTACATGGCATCACAGCCATTAATACTACTGTTATAAATAAGATCAAGCTAAATCTGGACAATGCTTCACACTATTTAGTTCAGAATTTTTGTCTTCCAGTCTCCTGTATAAAAAAGTCTGAAGATGATTGTACGGAACTGTCATTTTGCCCATTTTATATGCCCTAAGGGAACAGCATAGATTGAGATGTTTGAGAAGAGGGTTCACAGAAAAGTAATTTGACCCGAGAGAGAGGTGATAATAGAAACAAGATTAAAATGTTCAGCTCAGTAATTTATACCCTTCACCAGATATTAGAATGACAAATTCCAGGATGAACATACAGGAAGAATGGGGATCTCATATCCCCATTCTTGCTGTATGTTATAAAAAAGTATAAAAAATTTGATCATAACATCTGAAGGAAAAACCTATACATTTGGGAAGGTAAAATTAAAGTTAAACTTAAAGATAATAGGATGTGAGGGTGTGAACTGAATTATCTGTTTCAACAAAACCTCTGATGGTGGGAAATTATTGACTGGCTGTCAACATCCCTTAAAGTTTGTTTTCTTCGTGCATTGTCTGTCTTCTAACTTGTGTTATGTTTACTAGTGTGGATATGCTGTTTCAGGTTTAAAAAGACCTCCCATCGCGCCAAGGCCTGTGTTTGTATTGCGAGCTTGGCCACTTGGTACAGAGCCCCTAGTTTAATTATCACCATATTTCACCTTTTTATGTTTGCTGTTGTAAATTTTAATTTCAGGCATGAAATGTAGGCTTAGGTCTGTTTGAAATGCATTAATCATTGAGTATGCTTTAAGTGAATAGTTACTGTTTAAAATTTATACTCTTAGAAGGACATAATTTACTCTGGTTGTTGACAAGCCTCCTTAGTTTATTGTAGCATGTTAATTAAATGTGACATACTAAACTGGAGCAAAATTTACAGTGAAGTGGGTGTTGATAAATGTTTTTGTTTAGTTTTATTTTTCTGACTTCTACATCTCAGAAAATACAAAAATAAATAAATAAAACTTAGGATGATATTACACTAACCAGTTACTCTATGCTGGTGATTTTGTGTGTGGGCGTGCGTATGTACAAAGCTAATACAATAAAATGCGTCATGCTTGGTGTCTTTTGACCCAGTGAAGACATCTGCAAAGAGAACACCATAAAATAAGTTCAGCTTGAATATTATGATAAATCAAAGAGCCATTGGTTTGATCTCTGTTAAGGTGTTTGTCAAGAGTGAAGGGTTTGTGGTAAGTCTGAAAACCTGAAACAGTGATATTTTTTTTATAGCTGTAGGTTTCCTACCCTATTCCAGTACTTATTAATTTGCTGACTAACGGTGTTGAGAATGCAGTAGTTGCTCAGCTGGTTGAATTCCCTGCCATTTATGGGACCTGTAAGTTCATATAATGTTCACAAGAGCCTGCAACTGAACCCTGTCCTGAGGAAGATGAATCAACTCCATGCCCTCATACCCTGTTTCTATAAGATAATAATAATAATAATTTATTTACATTCCATGGATCCATAAGACAGTCAGATGAGATAGGATGTGGAAAAATTCATAATAAAAATAATAATAATAATACAATACATATTATAAAGTACAATTCGTACTATTATATAAATTTCACATAATACAAAACAAAGTATTCACCTAGAGAAATGATAAGCTACAAATAGATCTACCCATTACACATAAGAAAAATTTATCACTTATTTGTAAACAACATAAATTCATTGACAGAGTAAAAGGACTGTGTAATTAAGTATCTTTTTAATGTTACCTTAAATTGCTCCTTCTTATTTACAAGACTTGAGAGATTAGATGGTGGACTGTTGAAAATTTTGATTCCTGCATAATATGCACTCTTCTGAAAGCATGAGAGGTTGCAATTGGTCTATGAAGCTGATTTTTATTCCTTGTGTTGACACTGTGTACAGCAGAATTAGTTTGAAAGAGTTCTTGGTTATTTACAATAAAGTTCATTAACGAGAATATGTATTCACAAGGTCTTTCATCTATGGGTAGGCCTTACAAATGATCTGTTTCCTTCATCTTTTATAACCACAGTTTGTATGAATTTTGCACATCCCCTGCAGTAATATATGAGTAACTGCAAATTATGCTGTAGTTTTTGCAAGTTCTGCATGAAGACTTCAGTAGCAACTACATTGAAATGAGCTTAATACTAGTAAACACATTTGTAGTAATAGTGCAAGCTTGTGTCCTGTAGGTGGCAGTAGCTTGGCTAGCTACACCCCCAGCAAGGTTCACCTTGGTAGTGAAGACTTCCAGTTGGGGGTGACAAGAGCTCTGCCATTGCAACCCCCACGCACCACAGACATGTCTGAGTCTTCTGGAGCTAAACAGAACGCTGAGGAGGAGGATTACTTAAAACCAGCTGAGGACAGTGAGACCGTGACCTGGAGTTCAGAAACAGCATCTGACTTGTTGTTTTGAGCAGCATCCTGAAGCAAGGTAAAATAATTCTAAGGAACTACCTCCATAGAGCAGAGTCATTTTTGATCAGCTGGTCAAGAAGATTCCCACACTTTTTGGAGGCCAAAGTTTCATTACCATTTCATAAGAGTCTGCCACTGGACTCTACATTGTTCACACTTTCTGAAGTACCAGACATCATGATTGAGTGGTAATCACTTCTATTCCATATTTGGGAGACCAGGGTTCAAATCTTGGCTTAAACTCTGTTTCCCATCACTAAGATTTTTCATTTTCCTCAACCTTTCTAGACAAATGCATTAAAATAGGTTGTGGCTGCTTACATCCATCCCCTTTTCAATTTACCATTCACAATCATTCTACTGCCTATTGCTATGTAACACAGATGAAAGGTTCATTAAGTAGAATCTAAAAACTCAACTATCTCAGTAGCAAAGGATTAGTTGATGTCAATAAAGAGGTACACAGTAATTCAACAGCATATAAAAGTCCTTTGATTACAATTTCCTCTGAGCTAATCGGCCTTGTTATGAAAGTCTGTTATCATAGCCATATCTCACGTTATCTTCAGATTAAGAATAATCAGCCTTGTGAATAAATTGACAAAAGCTCTAATCCCCAGGTGTTTTAAAATCCTAAAAATGAAATTTGTGAGAATTATCAAACCCTCACATGGTCAGAATTATGATATTATGCAATGATTTAACTTATTAGGATTGTGTCTTGTCATACTGCTTGTTTCTTCCTTCTCACTTAAACTGTTTGTCCTGCAGCATTCAGTCGTATGTATAAACACAAGATCTGTCTCATGAATGTAATGTACAGATGTTGACCTTGTATCTGTAGGATCGGCACCATTTAGTCTGAATGGAGGAAGTTGACTACAAGTTCCTGATACTGCATTAACAAGTACAGGCCTGACACCTAATCCTCGCCTCATATGACCCGAATGATACTGCCAGCAGCAACAGCTTTGGAAATTGACTTTCAGTAGCTATCTTCCATTGCAATTTTGGCAAATCAACAGTGTCAATTATATATAATATCGGACTGTCCACATTTACAAAGAATTTGTGTGAATTTTATTATGTATTCTTCCACTTACAAGGTTATTTTAGGATCAGAGTTTACAAGGAATATCAGATGAAATTCAGTATACATTTTATGAAGTGTGTGTGTGTGTGATGTATTTATTGATTTAGTAGTAATGATTCTCCTTCCATTTTGATATCTAGCATGAGTATATATCTTCTATTTTTATGGTTATTAAGTCATTAATTTGTAAGAACAAGTGTAACACCAGTAATATTTAGTTGTCATGTTATGCTAAATTAATCAGGTGTTATATTCATGAAAATATTACATTCTTTAATATATGATATTTTAAACTTTTGTCCTTGAAAGGAGTCATATCAGATTTAAATTGTGGTTGTATGTTTAAGAAGATGATTACCCTTTTACAGGAATCCATGTTTCAGTTATATTTAGATCTGGCTTCAAGCAAGGAACATCTGAAAGTACTTAGGCTTCAGTAATTTTGTGTGGTTTTCATTCCATTTGTTTGTTTATGTCTGTGTTTAATGACCTATAATTCTTGTACATTTCCATTACTTTAGTATTTATCAAGTTTCCACATACTTTAAGGTTGCAATTGTATTGTAGAAATTATTTTTTTTTATTATAATTTGGCTCTTAACATGTTTAATAATATTGTGAGAAAGTTCTATCAAATATTTGTTGTGGTGATGGTGATACATTACAGCACTACCACACTTAAAAATATAATGTGATTAACATTTAATGATGTTACACATGGTATCTGACCAGTATATTCTAATTGCAGATAAGAATGGGAAATTTAATTTAGCCATGTGCATGTATTAAAGTGGCTTGAAAATTTCTGTCAGTATAAAAACTGTAACATGACTGTAATGGAATTTCTCAAACTGTTTGAAATGTGTAATAATAGAATTGTCAGTAGTTTGTCTTTGACTTTGAATAACAATTCTGCCTAGATACATTGAAGACTCATTCTCGTGGTGTTTTTATATGTACTGTTCTTATCTGGGACTGAAATTACTTTTCATGCACCTAATAGCTTATGGAACATCTTTTGAAAATTCTGAAGATAGTTTGTTGGTTTCTTCTTTTAAAATGTTCACTTTGTATTACAAAGTACATAGGCACAATATCATAATATCAATATGATTCTGTAATGGGTAATAAAAACTTAACAGTCCTTTACTATATCCTGGCTTAAGTGCCCAAAAGCACCTCAATCTAGGATTTGCACTCCTGGTCAAAGTGCCCATAGAAATCTGTGAAGTTTTCAAACATTTCCTGCCATTTGTTGGGTGACAACTTTTTGATGCCAATACAGTTGAATATGTTGGTTCTTTTGTTACAAAGGAATGAAGAATCATCTTTTTGTGGAACTATATACTGTAGGGTGAAAGCAGGGGACTTAATTTTTCATAATTGGGTTGGGAAAGGGTTAAAAGAAGGTTCAGTGATGTTTGTCTGGGCTTTGGCGCCATATGGACTGGTTGGTAGATTCTGACCATTCCGCACTGCATCAAAGCCCAGAAGAACATTGTCATTATTGTCACTGCCATGAAAATCGCAATTCTCACATAAGGTGTGTCTTGTGGAGAATTTCATCATCTAGTTGTTATCATTGAGGTTTATTCTTGGGATATAAAAGCAGGAAATTGTGTTCCCATTTTCCATATTCATATCAATGAAATTACATGGACATTGTAATGGTTCTGAACAAGTAAACAGTACAATATTGAACAGGAGACTAACAAACATAAAATAACTTGGTAACTCGATATACAGCATTTCTGTTTGATCGGTTGTTGTTATACAGATGAATGTCCTCAAATATTGCTCTACCATGGCTGCAGATATTTTGTAATCCTTTAATTACAGGGAACAAATTCCTCTCTCTCTCTCTCTAAAAAAATGTGTATTTGCAACTAAAGGTTTAAAAAATGTGCCTGTTAGTTTTACCATGCTTATCTCCCCATATGTACTGGGGTCCTTTCCCAGGGGTAAAGCGCAGCTGGGGTGTGATGCTGACCATTTACCTCCATCTAGTGCCGAGGTTAAGAATGGGTAGGAGCTATACCTCCTCTCCCCCATGCGCCTACATGGCATGTAACAGGACAGCTTTACTTTTTTTATCTGCCCATATGTATCAACAAGTAAAGAACCAATGAATGGATTTTGATTAAATTTGATATTCAGGAAGTGTGCCAAAATTTATGAACACATTACAATTTTGATTAAGATTAGACAATAATAATGGGTTTGTGATGCTGTGTGAACTTGTAGGTAAGTACTAACTTTTCAAATTCCTTCATCTTCAGGGTATCCACCCCTACAAGTGCACATAGTGTTACAACCCAGAAGACCAACACTGACATCTTCAGTGCCCTCAAATCTCTTACGTGATAGAACTCTGGGTGAAATACGATTATGTCAGAATTCTTTACGTTTTGTGGCTTTAATTTACTGTAACAGTTACATTGCTTTATTATTCTGTCAAACAAGAAGAGGAGACTCACTCGTACTCTAATGGGTTAGTGTAACAGATTGCTAAAGTTAAATCATATTAATATATGCAAATATTTTCACAGGAAATGGTTACACATTTTATGGATATATTTTTAATTTAAAGAGTTAAATGTATCCTCAACATTTTTGCCCATATTTTCTTCAATTCCCATGAAAATTGTGACTGACAAAATTGATGGTTGTAGTGCCATGTGGTCTGGTAGAAGTTTACCAACGTTTCAGAGATCCTTGCTGCCTCCATCATCATTGATGAATACCAGACCATACCAGAAGACAATCATCATTGCACTCACCACCACGATAACCTCAAATCCTACTTGTGACTGACAAGTTTCTATCATTGTCTGAACAGTATTGTAAAATAAATTGCAACACTCTTGTCTGTTTTAGGAAGAAAAATACAAAATTTAATGGTCACAGCCAGTCATCATAGCTTTTGCCATTGTTCTATGAAGTGTACATATGCCTTTGAATTCATTGTTTGTTGCATTTTACCCTAATCTGAAGTTTTACTGTGGTGAAAATGTTGATTGTGTGGTCTTCTGAATTGTGACACCATATATGTCTTCTACACTGAACTGAATATGGAGACAATACATTCCAAATGTTGGTAACCACCTATAAGACTGCATGATATCACATTCCACTTCATTCTAATCTGTTTGAATGTGCTACTTGACCATGTTTCCAACCTCATAGTTGTAGCAGGTAAGCTGGTATTCAGTACACAAGATATTTCAAGCAATTAAGAAATGTGGTGTTCTCTTTATATATAAATTCTGGTGATTAGTTTTGGAGTTGGTATTTTGCAACTTTTAAGTCACAAACAAACACTGTTGTTAAGTTATTCTGTTTAACATCTTTAATATTGACAGCTCAACTGCCATTTATTTAATACATTCAGGAATAAAGATAAATACATTTGTCATATTGTATATGTAAAAACATTCATACTTTTGTTATAAATTACAATTATCATATCCAACATAAAGAATGAGTGGGTTTAAAACAACAATCTAGTTTACATATCTACGATATAAAATCTGGCTAAATTTAAGCAGATTATGTATATAAGTAGTATATGACTTCTCTTGTAAGTAATGAGGTTTATTGTTGATCATCCCCTCCCTGCCAATCTTCAAAGATCAAAAATGTGTCTGATAGCTGCACGTGCCTCAGTGAGTAATGTTTATTAGTTTGGGCCCAGACTTATTGCTCATAAATCTTTTCGTTTCTATATGTGTTTTCTAGACTATAAATTCCTTCATTACATCAGTATTTTTGTGTGTAATATTAATGTGTACGTATGTTTAATTGTAGAATATGACATCTTAGTCTTGAATTTAATGTTGCTGTATAATAAATTAAATGGGATATCTGTAATGTGCCAATTGTAAGAATTAAGTTAAAAATATGCTTGACTCTTACCAGAAAGGTAATTTTATGTTAAATACGATTTATGTTTCCATTTTGCCATTTTCAGTGAGGTTTCTCCTAATCCAAATTACATTGTGGGTATATAAGTGTGCAAAAGAACTGTGTTTAATTATTGTAAAATATAACTGAAATATTCAAAGAAAGTCATATAATATTTCTATTGTGGGAGTTTAATTTTGTTGTATGCAAATACAATGAAAATGAATGTGGATCCTTGCCCACTTTTAATATGTGTGTGAATGCTAATTTTATGAATGATATAAAACTGGAATACATTTTCTGCAATTATGTATAAAGCACTTGTGATATTTCTTTTACTACTGTATTCATATTTAATTTAATATGTATATGTATGACTGATGATCTGTAGTTGTGTATTACATAAACACAGCATACATTTCCATATTTCATAAAGAAGGGGACAGAAATACATACTTCCAAATTTGAAAACCTATTTTATATTCAATAAACTGTCATATATTGTGTATATATTAGTACAAGAACTTTTCAAGACATATTCATTTAAATGTTCCTTATTGATATATTACAGCTGTAAAATTCATGTAACTAAAATGAGTAGTGTACTCCATACATGACATCATGTATATATGTAAGAAAAGCTGCAACAATTCCAAATTGAGATGGAGTGAACAGTGAAAGAGAGACATCTAATTTTAGTGCATTATGTCATAGACTCCAGATGATTGCAAGTTGTAGGAACATATGCATAAAATAAAAGTACTGCTCCTGTAAATGTAATCTAGTTATATATTTGCAATGTAACAGTGCAAAGTAACAGTTTTGTGAATATTAATGTTAACTTGTCTTGAGTGTCACAGCTTACCAGAGTAGGTCCTCTGTGATGTAAAGTGCTGCAGTTCATCAAAATTTCAATTTTCAAGCTGTGCATTGTGTTGAAGTAACAAGTCTTTTTATTGCCAGTGTATGAATCCAAATTGATCTATATCCAGTGGTGATTTTCTATAAAAATTGGGCTGTATCAGTTCATATCTGACCATCTGCTCATCAGACCAAAAGCATTGTTGCCTCCAAATTGTAGATTGACCATCATTGACTTAAATTTATTTTGTATTATTATTATTATTATTATTATCCCATCTGTTGACTACTTATAGGTTATTTACTTCCATGTACCCGAGACAGACCTTGTCCCTAAGGTACATAGTGCAGCAGTTATTTCTGAAATACATTTTGTTTTTAATATGTGTTACATGTATTTTACAACAGCCTCTTTAAAATTATGTATGAAGATCCTAAAATGGCAGTTTTCTGAAGTTCCCTGATGTTGTGTTCGCCCAGAATGTTGGCCAAATATTTTCTGAGTGACTTGGAGACAGTTCCAGTTGCTCCTATAATTAATGAGATTACTTTTGCTTTCACTTTCCACATTTGCTGTATTTCAATGAGAAGGTCCCTGTATTTAAAGATCTTCTCCGCTTCCTTCTTAATTATATTTCTGTAAGTTGTTTCGGATTATAATATCTGGTTTGTTACTTGGAATGGTCCTATCTGTTTTGACTTGTTGGTTCCACATAATAATTATTTGGTAATCCTGACTTGTCTCAACTAACTTCGGGATGTGTTCATACCAATGCTTTTTTTCTAGCTTTACCCCAACTTTCCTGAATATGTTAAAATGTAACTAAGTACAGACACAACGTGATCTGTCATTTCCTCAAATTGCTGACATAATCTGCATTTGTTGTCTGTTTTTAATATTTTGGTTGCATAATATTTAGTGTTTAGTGCTTGGTCTTGTGCTGCTATAATCTGACTTTCAGTTTCCCCTTTCAGATTTCCTTTTGTTAACCACAGAAATGTGTCTTCTTTGCTTATAAGTTGTTTGTTCAAACTTCAGAGATACTTCCCACTTTTTCTTTATACTTTCTTGAGTCAATGTCTAAATTTGTTTATTATTATTATTGTTAAATTTGTGTAAGTTATGAACCCAGTAGAAAATTGCCACTGAATATATCTGTTGAAAAATTATTTACTAATGGAGGACAGAGTTATACCCCCTCAAAAATTATACAAATCTAATAAGCATTTTTGGGTCCATATAAAAATAGATGCAGTAGTGAAATATTATTCTGTTCTATCAGAGAGATGAATTAGTCTATTATTAGACAAGAAATGATAAAGACTGGCTCTAAGTACTAGTTTTTTCATGTTTGTTATATGCATTATTCCATTACAGATGTTCTATGTGTATGAAGCTGTAATTTTTGTATATGATTATTCTGTGTTTGGTCATTTGTGGAGGGATCAGTATAACTTAAAATGTATATTTACATAAGTCATATTGCTCAATACAAAGTGATGGGTATGATGAATTTCTATTTTCAGCATTCTAAATAATTACTGGAAGTGCAGTTATGTTTAACTATGTAACAGAATAATGGGAAATCTAATGTTTGTATTCAAAGAAAACATACTGTACTTCTTTTTGACTGAATGTGTGAAATTCACATCCACATCAGATGCTAAACAAATTCTAGATTTTCATTTGTTCCACAGGTCAGTGGTGTAATTATTTCTATGACATACAGTAATTTCTTTATAAATCTCTTGAACTTCAGTAATGTAAATGTTTTGATTTTTAAATCATTTGTACACATATCCTTTAAGGATCAGTATGCTTAAGGCTTACAGAATATTTTGTGTTCTGTGAACTGTTCATGAATAATAATGTAATTATATTTACATTTTTAATTTGTGGCTCTAATCCATTATAAAGTGTTTCAGAGAAAATACAAATTGAAAGCAATAGTTATTGAGCAGTGCCAGATGAGTTTAGCTCTGTACTAATAATTCTGAGAGGCACCCAGTTTGATTCCTCCTTGTGTCCTGACTTAAATTTCTGTTTCTTACATTTTTTCCTTCCATGTCATTGCAATTTTCCTGTCCTTCACAGTTAATTCAAAAGCAATGTCATAGTTTCTGGAGTTCATACTGAAGCAGTATATTTAAATACTGTATACAGTGAAACATGGTTATAATAAAGTCCAGTGCAACTGGAAAATGTATTTGTTTCAATGAAAATTTGTGAAAATGCATATAAGTCTTTGAAAATTGTTCCTTCTTACGAAGTAAGGGATTGTCATGGCAAGAAGCCCCTTTCCCCCCATTTACAGTTGTGTGATTCAATTACTTGCTGCTGCCAAATTATTTTATGATGTATTTCAGTGAAATTTCATGATCATTTGAAGAAACTGCATTTATTCATTTTAGTGAAATTTTATATTCTTAAAAATTATTACTTATGAATATATGAAGTACTGTGTACGATTATAATGACTCATGAGGGCATTATAACTTGCCCTTTATTCATTTTGACTTAAAGAAACAGGCTGTATTTTTAAAGTAAGTTGAACCATTGGTTTACAGTACTTTGTCATGCAGATTTTGCATGCATGCAGTAATTTTTTTCAGGTGTAGTCAAACCCTGATATAGTGCTCCTTTGTATACCTCCACCCTCACAAAACCTCAACAGAAATTCCCTATGTAAGGGAATCCCTCAGTAAAACATCAACCATGTCAGCTGCCATCCACCAACATCTGCAACAATACAAATGTATTGTTAAGCACTATAATCAAGTCTGTTACAATGCCATACCATTTTGTTTCCCCTGGCTATAAAACAACTCCCTGGAATATTCACTTGTAAAAATGCTGTATATCAACTTTGACTTCAACTAATAAAACCTATTCAGGTAAGAAACCGCCTACAGTAACTGAGCATGCCACTGGGAGGGGCATTGGTTTGAAAATGGAAACATTATTCAGAACAAGCTGCATACAGTAACATGTAGCACTTCAAGATACCTGGTATAAATGTTTGAGATCTACTCTTCCCCATACCCTACTTAACAGGGTAATGAACTCTCATAATGAAAGACATTTTGGGTATTATGCAGTATGCACACTTCAGTTTGGTAGTCATTTATGTTTATGACATGGGGAGATGGCAGTGTTAAGTAATGGTGAAAAAATATGTACCTATTAACAATTATCTCTGTGCAAGCCATTAAAATAATTCCAAGTATTTCACCCTTTTATGTGGTAATCCCATCATTTGGGATTATTTTGAAAGTAGTTTAATTCTCTGACCTTCCGACTTCAACAGCAGTATTAGTGGTGGACAAAGTGTGGTACTGTATTCTGTTGCTTTCTGTTACTCCTACCTGCAGATGTCATAGATTGGGTTGTATCATCATCAGTTATAATTATTGGACAATATCTGTGAATCTCATGAGGACTATTTCACTTTTAATCTTTTTGCTGTCTGAATACACAATTCAGTATTCTCCTACAACACTGTATGCTTTGTTTCCTAAATCTTGGAGGTGAAGCAAAATATGTATGCTCTTGAGTCAGAATACATTTTTTAGCATACTTAGAACCACTGTGAAACAAATACAGATCACATATCATCATTACTTGTTGAAGTGTTCTTTCTGCATTACATATTATATTTCAAAGATGTGACTTTCTGATGTCCAAAGTTTCTAAACCATAAAGGCTTACCTTGAGTAACTTTTATTAGCTCTTGCAACCAAAATATTTTACAGTCATCTCATCAGTAGAAAGTTCCTAGGTCAAAGTATCTTTCTGGGCAGCTTGTTTTTCAAACACTTGTAATTTATGTTCTTCCTTCAAGGTAAGAGACCATGTTTCACAACCATACAAGACAACAGGCAAAATTATTATTTGTACACACAAACATTTAGTATGTATCAGAACTACATGCATATTCTTTTTTCAGTTAACTATAAAAATTTATAGAGAACAAATATCTTACCTAAAATAACTTGGCATGAAATTTCTTTGAGACTGTCTCCAAACCTTTATATCAACACTGCTGATCATCCATTATAACTTCATTTCATATATAATTTTGTCTAGATCATGTAAGAACTTATGACATATTTTTAAGTCTTACTTAATTAAAGTTGAAGAGCAATTTTGTTTTCTTAAATGGGAACTTATGTAGGTTTGTGCCAGGCACTGTAGTAGGAAGATGACCAACTTGTTTCCGTTATGAAGTAGAGTTAAATTAACTTACTTTTACAGCCCTTGTTACTTTGTCAGGTGTGCAGTCATAGTTGATGTTTGTTGAGGAAGCCTATTATGTGTTTAGGAATTATCATATATGTCAGTCTTTACTTTAAATTCCTGTTTACAAATCTGTGGTTCAGTACAGATAAAGCATCACAAAATGTATATGACAATAATAAGCATGATGAGGGTACACTCCATTGCCATATGACTAGCACATTATATTTACAAAACATTAAAATATAAAATGATCACTTGTAAATAGATGTATAATATTCTTCTTCTAGATCATACAAGTCAGCAGCCATGTCATCTCTAAGACTCATTAGTTTCTGATCACATTCAGCTTGCTTTGTTCTAAATAATTTCGAATTTTGGGTGATGGCTTCATTCACAGAAGGAAAATCATTAAGAATGAGATATTGTTTGATATCTGATACAAGTTTCATTAAGGATTCTCCAGCTCGCACCTGAAAGCAAAACAAATAGGTTTTATAACACAAAATCTGGAGATAAAAAGAGAAGTACTCATATATGTTAACTACAAAAATCTGTATGTAACTTATACACTAGTTCCACTAACACTTCAATGCTACTTACAATATTTGCTGCTCGGACATGCATTTCATAAGTATCTTGTTCACTCTGGGTCATCTTTGACAACTGAGTTTCATTTTCACCTTTGGCCAGCTTTACTATTTCTGAAATACAATACAAAATTTTTAATGTGTATATTTATTACCATCATTTAAATCACACACACTCCAAAGAAGGTAAGAAAGCATCTGCAATAAAAGTGTTATAGTGCAAATTTTAAAACAAAAAAACCACCGCGATGTTCAGTCCTGCACACATAGGCATGATCAGGAGCCAATAACGTAAAATAACCTGCCTAACCTTATTACCGTTAATGACGTGCACTCTCGTATCTATAGAGCACAAGTTATATGAAACCATTATGTACATATGCCATTTCCGCGCCTATTTAATAGTATGACCAACGATTAAACCACTTCTTTTTACAACCTGCAAACCTAAATGAACGTAAATTTTGGGCGACTTTAAAATTTCCGGCCGATGCCGAGTAAGGGATTTTTTTCTTACAAACTTTACTTATACGTGAACATATTTCAAGTAATATGGAATTACCAGGACTCTATTCTCGATATGTTAAGGAATTTTCGGTTTTACATATTCCATATCTTATTCTTTAAACGTGTGTATATAGCTTTCTGTCTGTATTTACCTTCAAAATTTTCTAGCATAGACTTAACATCATCCTTTAATCTTGTTGTGTATGACTTCAATAAAGCTTCTTTGCTCTGTGGCAGACCTCTGGAATGGGACATCTCTATTTATAAAGCAATAACATCAAATTTCTATCGATATAACCTACAAACACACTTCGAAAACCTTACAACACTCAGTTTATAAACACCACAATTGCATCAGAATCAGAGACGACACACATTGGCCGCTTTCAACTAGAGCCTCAAGACTATTGCATATGTAATGTAGCCATCTTTGGCTGAGAAATTTCTTTCCATACGAGCACCGCTGCTATTGAAATGACAAATCATCCGTTTTAAGTGCAAGCATATGAAAAGTTATTGATCAATATCCTTAATATCTAAAGCCATGTTTGATATATAAATACTGTTCATTTATTTTTCCCAATTATATCCAAGGATATTTCTTCATTATCATTTGTGGCTTTTGGAAGGGAAGTCGACCGTCGAGAACGCACTACAATCGGAAGTTATAGACATTCGTTATGTTGGTAAAATCTGTGTTCGTTTTGCCAATTGCACTAGTTGGTAGTCGGTTGTGTGTGTTGTGAGTTGTAACTAAAATCTATATAATTGTTGGCCATCCAGTGAAGTAACGGAGAGAAAATGGTACAAAAAAAGGTTAGTTCTTCATGGAATATTATACTTGAAATATTTAAATTATATTTTGCGTAATTGATGCGGGAAAAAATAATCAGAAAGTGATGAGTGGCGTGAACACATTGTCGGAATATTGCCATTGCAAAAAGTGTGGAAAATAAGATTTTAAGTATTATAGTACAAAGTGGTGGCATTCATGTTTTGGTTTACAAATGCACCCAGAATTCGGATGTGTTCTAGCACGTGGTGGGTAGTAATTCGAGTAATAATAATGGTGCTGTACTGAGTCTGTGACCGAATTCAGTTTCCGCAGACTATTGTATGTCTTTTACAGATCTAACCTAAGACTCATTAGAAGGAATTTGCTGGCATGGGTAAACATCGTTGTGAAGATCTTACGGAAACAGTGCTCTGCTCGACTTCTAATTATGTACCTAAATTAAAAATGTTTGGTTCCATTTCCGCTTAACCTTGGCCACTGGAGTGGTGGTTCTCCAGTATGGCGGCATGTTCGTGGGTATGCAGGATCTGTACTGCAACATGGTACAAGGGAACAAAAGCCTGTGTCTGAGGTTGAGGAAAGGTACTTTTGTGACAGTGTCCACTGGTGATCCTCTGTATTCCAAAAACGATGCCTGTTTTCCTACATTTGCTGATAGTTTTACCTGAGATCCCATATAAATTTGATTCTGTATGTGCATGTTGGGTTATTTTACGTGGAACACATGGATGTTTCAGATGAGAAATTTGAGATTGGTATTTGTGGTTGTGATAGGCACTGCTGGTCTTCTTCAAGCAAGCAGATCCTGAAAGGTGTTCCCAATGTCTAGATGGTTTCCCAGATATTTAGTTCATTGTGTGGAGTTCCACATTCACATTGCAATATGGATCCTGTAAAAGCATGAACATGTCATGTTATTGGAGGATTTCCACTCCGGAAGCTAAGATTAAGTGGAATGTAGGCATACTTAAGAGACTCTCATAGTATTGTTTCTGTAAGATCTGCAAAACTATACAAATAACTGACCTATAGAAAGTTAAAAGCCACAACCTCATTAGTTACAGTATTCCTCTATTCAGTCTTGTGGTGGGTACTTGCTATAGTGACCTTCTGTATATGTGAGATCAGTCATAAAAGCCTATAATTATTATGATCAGAAAGGTATTTATCTTGTAAAACACTCTTTAAGTTGCCCAGCCTATATGGAATTGAATGATAGGATGATTAATGTTTTATGAATTGAAAAGGATATTGAGGGTAGCTGCAAATATACTGAATAAGCAGTCATGGACAGCTGACAAGGGGTTGCCTTCCAGCATGGGGGTTGGGTGTGGTATTAACAACTCCTCATCGTGAAAGTAATAAATTATTAGAAGTTTTACCCTTGGAAAAGTGACTGTTGGCTTCTCAGGAAGGACTTGGCTCCATGGAGTAAGTAAGTAAAGGATATGGAAATAAATGGCTGTGGCTTAATTTAAGATGCTATCCTCACATTTGTCTGGGGGAACTGAGGAAAGCCATGAAACACATCATTCAAGGTAGCCAGTTTTCAGGCCAAGCTGAGGTGAGGTAGAGATATGTATTGGCTGTGAGTATGATGAGTATTCTCTGTTTCACAAGTTTTTGATGACAACAGTACAATTACCACCAAGATCTCTGACTTGCTATTATTGGTAATTATTTTTAATTTTGATTTCTTGAAAGAAATGTATTTTATACAGAAATTAATTTTGTAGCCTAAGAAGAAGGTAGGCAAGAAGGTTGCAGCAGCACCTTTAGCAGTGAAGAAGGCTGAACCAAAAAAGGTTGTCAATCCACTTTTTGAAAAAAGACCAAGGAATTTTGGCATTGGTAAGTTGAATACATGTATCTTTTTTATCCATTCCTTTTGGGCATCTTTCTTTTGTTTATTTTTTAATATATATAATATTTTATAAAATTGGAATTTGTTATGAATACAAATAATCTGAACTGTTACACTAGAATTTATAGTATATGAAGAATAACTGAGAGTTTTGTTTTTCATTATCAGGCCAGGATATCCAGCCATCTCGAGATTTAAGTCGATTCGTGAGGTGGCCAAAATATATCAGAATTCAGCGTCAGAAGGCTGTGCTGCAGAAACGCCTGAAAGTACCACCACCAATCAACCAGTTCGCCTCGTCTGTTGACAAACAGACTGGTATTGTAATGTTTTGTTTTTTTCTAAAACATTTCCACTTAATGTGGGCTGTCTCTTTTTTAATATATGCAATTTAATCACTGCCATTATAAAATTTTACTGTTTTAGAATGTCACTGACCTTGTTATTTGTATTTTGTCTTGCAGTCTTGTAAGTGACTTGTAATTTTAAAAATGTTGAACTCTGCTTGCTTACTACCTAAACCATTGTTGTGATAACAAAACCTGAATGTTCAACATCTCTACCAGAAAATAGGCTTGCCATAGGACAGTCATTTCCATTCCTGTCAAGGTTCATTTTTATGAGCATTCTCCAAGAAGTTTTCCTGTTGAAATTCTGTATGCATTTATTTCTCTCCAGTATGTTCTAGGCTGTAGTAATAATATTTTAAATATATTAGTAAAGAGTCTGGGTACTGTGGAAGATTGTGTTTATGATGATATTTGTATTTGCTATCTGAGTTCTGAAGACATTCTTAACCACCAAGATCTCTGAAGCACATCACCACAATCTAAATGTTGTACCTTTATTATGTTTTACAGGAATTAACTTATTTGGAAACAAATTAAGCCCTTCCTGGGAGGAATTGATTATAAATGTATATAATTTTATTAGTTACAGTATCATATTTGTATTGTAAGGATTAACTTCATTCTAGCTCAAGCACTTTTCAAAGTGTTGGAGAAATATCGGCCAGAGACAGCATATGCAAAGAAGGCCAGGCTGCGAGCACGTGCTGAAGCAAAGGTTGCAAAGAAGGAGGAAGCACCCACAAAGAGACCTAATGTATTGCGTCAAGGCAGCAACACTGTTACAAAGTTGGTAGAGCAGAAGAAGGCTCAGCTGGTTGTCATCGCACATGATGTTGATCCAGTTGAGGTTTGTATCTGCTCCATTCTTATGACATATAATTAGGGTAGAACTTGAAAGTAACTGCCAGGCTTCCTGACACTGAAATGATAGTAGTTCTAAGGTATGTGTTTATGAATTATAATTATTTTAACTGGTTTCTTGGTTGGTAATCAATTGCCTCTTTAGTAAATTAAATGCACAATATGGATAGTGCCTCCCCCCCCACTGCCCTAACAGAATATAACCACAAAAATAGGAATGGACACAGACGCGTGGAATTATGTGGGCTGATGAAGACTAAATGGAACAGATCATTGAACAAATGTGGATAATGCAGAACTAGGTTTTACACAAGTTCTGGAAGTAACTTATAATGCCTGCTTTTAAAACATTCACAGTATGTTTAATGTGTCAGTGCCTTTTGCAGATGCATTCATAGCAATTTTGTCAGTCTCTGTTTATGTCGTCATATGGCCAGTCACGTGGCATGCCTTTCATATAGACCTGGATGAACCACATAAATCATCATGGGATAAGGAGCATAGGCTACATATAATATATGGCAACCACCTGTACTCATCTCATGAGATTTAATACAGTGGGGTATTCACCCTGCTAAAATGTTTCACATTCATGACATGTATATTTTTAATATGGTAAGTTTCATGTTGTGATGTATATGCAGATATACTCGTGTCACTAGCTTCATTTAAAACATTGAACATATTAAGGTTGTCTTTAAAACCACAGTATATAAATGCATTTCATAGTTTATATTGAACTAAAATTATTATATTTAGAACACCGTGATGGAAAATGAATTTCTTCACCTGAATGTCATATTGCATAGATGACAATATGTTAGAAGAATGACACTGAGTGTTCTGGTATGCTTGAAAGGGAACAGTTCGGTTTAGGTTTTTTTAAAACAACAGTTTTTAGCACTGTACTAGGCTGAATCTCTGGAATGTCCATTTCTAGCCCACCATATGTGTTTCACCTGTTCAGTTTTTGGACCAGTTGGCTGATTTTCCATTAAATGTGGTGTAAACGTTGTCATTGGATGCGAACCCAACCTTGTACATGTTGTCAGTGAAGTGGCAAGATGCATGAATGTGCATGGTGAAGTGACTCCATCTTTTAGTATAGGGTCCTGAAATAATATATGGCACTAGATTTAAAAAAATGTGCTGTGTTGATTAAGGTATTTTTCACTATATGTAAAACAAACTGGCTGATTCATGAAATCTATCCAACATTTGGTTTGATGGAAATAGCCGCCAAACCATTGTGGCTGGGCATGTGAAATTTTGTATTGAGATCATAAACATAACTACAAACTTTTGTATGAAATATTGGTCATAATTCTGCTGTAACAAATTTGGTGTTAATATGTGAAATTATGTCCAACCTTTCTAATTCCCTTTTTATTTCTATTGTGACAGATACAAATAAATTTGGGTGAAAAGAAAGACAGTGATGTATTTATGAATGTAAACTCCTGCCACCTGTTATTTGTATACAAGAACTATGAGGAGATGCCAGTATAATAATGATATAACTTGGCACATAACCATAATGTGCAAAAAGTCTTGACAGTTGATGTTAGAAGGCTTCCAACATTGGATGTGTACAGGAAAATTATGTGAATGCCCCAGTAGGTGTTGGATAAGAATTAATTTACATAGAATCTTTTCCTAAGAAATAATCTCTTGCACAAATGAAATGCTAGTGTACCTACATTCTTCCTTCACTACCTGTTGCATTAATGTTGCTATGGTCACATTATAAGTGTTAATAAGTTTCATTTTTTTAGTTGGTATTGTTTATGCCAGCACTGTGCCGCAAGATGGGTGTTCCTTACTGCATAGTGAAAGGCAAGGCTCGTCTTGGGACACTTGTTAGAAGGAAGACTTGTACATGCATTGCAGTGACCCAGGTAAGTTTACCTTTACTTTTGTGCTTGGGTGTAACCACATCTTGATGTCCCATAAAATTTATGCAGTGCCAAGAGTTTTGTTAAGTTTGGAGGGAAGTGCATATTTTTGTCTTCTGAGTACTGTGCCCTACATATTTCATATTTATGCTGAGATCCAAAAGCAGTTGGTCTCCATTTCATGACATGGAAGAAATATCATAACAATGTTTGAGTATCAGCCATATAAAGGTAAAGTTTCAAAGTTCCTAAACTTTACATCATTGTGGTGGGAGGGGGGTGATGGTTATGGAGTAGAGAAAGATGGCTTTTCATGCCAAGATTTATGGACCCAACCCTCCCTTCCATATGGGAATTAAAATGTTGCAGGTAGTCAAAGTGGCTTGTTTTTACTAATGCTGTCAGGTCCAAAATGTACATAAGAGGCTAGTGTCACTAGCAAGTGGCAGGAATGACCATGGCTGTTAAAAGTGCCCTGCTTATTTCTGAAGGCAGATAGGTGTTTGTGATTTGTGTTCTTGCTGTTAAATTAGTTAAATTCTGGTTTGTTAGAATACAGATAACTTGTCTTGGCATGCTATTGTATACAATAAAGTTCTTTATGTGCAGGTGGATTCTGGTGATCGTGCAGCTTTCACAAAGGTGGTTGAAGCAATTAAAATTAATTTCAATGATCGCTTTGAAGAAATCAAACGACATTGGGGAGGTGGTGCTCTGGGCTCAAAGTCTGCTGCAAGAATTGCCAAGATTGAAAAGGCTAAAGCAAGAGAACTTGCACAAAAACAAGGTTGAATAATATGTACAGGTTCACGTAAAGAAATACATATGTGAATTTGATGTGTGATTTCCATCCATTATGTTTTCCCTCAGATACATGTTGGAAATGCTGATACAAGGAAGGGAGAATTTAACATCTTGTGCAAACTTGTTAGGAAAATTGAAACATGGTGCAGAGCTGTAGTAAGGTGTGTATATGAACATGTCTGATTCACTTCGTGTTAAGAATGACTTGGGGGGGGAAAAATTATATTTTGCTCTTCAACATTAGGAAAATACAGGAAAATAAAGTTGAATTTTAATATGATGAGTTTCTGGTCTATGTTGAAGTTAATTCATTGGACAAAAAGTTTGTCATAAACAAAAAACAAATTTCTATATCATAGTAAGAAAATTGGACTACAAGTAGGCAGAAAAGTAAGTGTATTTCAGAATTTTTGTGATGTTGGAGGCAGGAAAGACCTCTCAAATGTTGGTAATCTTTTACCAGATTACAGTACTACACCGTAGAAGACAGCCTTGTTTTATATTTCATGTGTTGTCAGGCTAGCCTCATAGATGAGTCTACATATGTAAGTTTTTCATTGCCAGGATTTGAAGTTCCTCTTATCACCAACAACCTGAATCAATTGTATTTCAGCCTTATTGTTATCTTCAAATTATATGCAAATTAAAGAAGATTGTGTGGTGGGGCAGTAGTAGCTAGGGATTTGCACATGCAGATTCATCATTAGTGGTAATGTGGCATGCTGCCATCTATTAATAGAGGATGGGAATTTCTGACTTGTATCAGAGAATCAGCTGTTGGTGACAAATTAATAGGTATGCTGAATTTCATTTTGCTAATAACTCAGATGGAATTTAGCAGTCCTTTAAAATATTGCATAGTTGTATTTGAGAGCAGGTAAGTTATGGAACATAGTTGAAAAATGTGTTCCAGACTTTTGAACCAACAAACAATTTTTCAGTTACTATAATGTGTAAACTGAAAATTTTCCGGAAATAATTTGCATAATTGCTATGACCATATCTGAAGGGAAAATGGTTAGAATAAAACTGACCATTTATTCAAACCAGAATGAAACAGCTGATGAAAATGGTGATGTTGAGTGCAGATCTATAACCCAAGAAGACATTTTTTATCCAGAATTCTAATTCTTACATGTCTAATTTTTCATTAATTCCCCAACCTTGGTAATTACACAATCCTATACATGACAAGTTGCTAGAGTGAATCTGAAATGCGTATGAGGGAGACTCATGGAAATTGTGATGTCATCATGCCCCCACAGTTGAGAATTCATGAAATGTGTTTGCATCCCTTGGGACTTTTTTCTAAAATTTGTGAATGCACTCTAATTTTGTTTAAACTTGGACAATAATGGGCACAACCAGGACACCTGCCAGTGTTTTTGCATGCCATTAACAAAGGTCAAATTTTGTTGAATGTTTAAGGTTTGTTATGCTATTCGTGCATTTCGAAGATTAGTCATCGTGAACAATGCAAATTTAAACTAGCTAATATTGAATATGACCGTCTTTGTGTTTCACTGTGTAGTTTGGTGTAGGTTTATCGACGTGCTTGCTCCTTCCAACTCGGAAACGTCGGTAAACTTCTAGCAGACAGCCAGGGTGGGCCACCTGTGGCGCCGTTATATTACTTGTTCCGAGATATAGATGGCAGCACAACTTACATCAACTTTTTGAGAACATGTCCGTATGATACATGGTATTTACGACAGAAAATATAATCAATCAAGGGAAGGATTACAGTGGCGGAAACTGGTATTCCGTGGTAAACTGGTAAATACCATGGAGTTGTAGTGACCGTTAGCATTTGACATTTTTCAAGTAGTTTGTAATGAAGTTATGTACTATAAAAACTGTACAAATTCGATTTTTCAGAAATCTTCATAAATTATAAGGAAAATGCCGCTGATATTTTACCCCATGAAGTATAAAATTGGAATGTGTTCAGCAGCTGTTTTTGTAAAATGTTGTGTGAATAGGTTAAAATAGGAAATGTCACTGTTTTGCTTAAGATCGCAAGGTTATCATTTGTACCACCTAAGTGCTGCTTTGTTCTAACAACATATTTGGAGACAGAGTAAGGCCATGCAGTATTAGCCTCATGATCTGCAAAGTGGTTACTTGTAAGGCTTTAACATCAATTTTCAGTTCAGAGCTGACGAATGATAACTCATTCTGGCCGAACGTCGAGGATAATGGTTAGCACTTCTGCTTCGTGTTCGGGAGGTCTCGGGATCATATCTAGACCGGAGGAGCTGCTATCTTGTCTTGACGTTTTTGTGGTTTCCTCAGTCTATCTAAACACATAACCTGAAAACTAGGAATGACCACATACTTCTTTTCCTTTATAGTTTATTATTCGGTAATTATCCCACCATTTGACACCATATAATTTGAGCTACTGGCAGCGTCATTAAATAACCCTCGAAGAACTAAATATAACTAGGTAGGATTTGAGGGTTTTTTTGTCTTCCAGGTTGTGCTGTGCAGTCTGATAGAAGTGTACCAACATGTCAGGGCTTGCCCTAATGGAGGGAGCAAGGACCTGTGAAACGTTGGTATACTTCCACCAGACTGCACAGCGCTACAACTCAGAAGACAGTTGTTTAAGTATAACCAATTTTTGTTAAAGTGGGCATTGCAGCTTTGGTCCCGCACCACAGGAAATTTTGAAGCTGTTGTTGAACCTATAGTGTTCCTTCTTGGTATGGTTATTTCAGACCAGGTAAGATTGGTTTAGCATAGGCATACTCTGTAGTTTTATTTAGACTTTTATCAGTACATTGTTATTAGAGTGTGATGCTGACCGGTTAACCCCCATCTAGTGCTGAGGTCAAGAATAAGTAGTTACTATGCCTATTTTACTCCCTCCAAACAACTTCATGGAATATATCAGGGACAGCATCCAAATCCATGAAGGAAGGGTGAGGAATATCATATATAAATATAGGGAAGTGTGTGTACTCCTGAGTTTATACTATTCAATAAAATCATAAAGTGGAGATTTATATGTCTTTAAAGCTAAAGGAAACCACTTCATTTACTCACTGTTATTCTGTTAAGTTATTTAAGTAACATAACATTAAGTTTGTGTATAGTGTTCAGTACATACCAATATTTGCTCACAGACTGGCACTGGATTACAGGATTAATGATTTTCTAAGCAAGGGAAGACGCATATCTGGACAAGAAGTTTGATTTCTTACATCAGTGAAAAAACATGCTCCTATTATTCACTAATACATTCAGATTTTGTAATGGCATAAGTGATAGTTTATCATACATCCTTACTCTTTGCATGATGCTAAGACTCATGCCAAACTAATATCATTGTCATTATTTATATTGTTGTCAGTTGATTTAAATTTTAAAAAATGTGTTTTCTGGTGTTCATTTTGGCACACATTTTACTGCAGTCTCTCCAAACACAATAATAATGAATCTTCGCATTTGTTTACCCCACCAGAGCCCGTTGTTTCATTTAGTGGTAAAGGAAAAATACAAAAAGTCTGTGAGGACACTGATTTTGTAACTTGTACTTCGTTGTAATTAAAATTTTAAATGTTTTATTTCAGGGAAGAAAAGCTGTGAAACATGGCTGCCATTCGACACACACTACAACGCGTTGTCTTCCAGCCAAACGATGAACAGTTGTTAGCAGTTGTGCATGTTAGTAAGTTGCTGAAGAAGAAGAAAACTAGTTTCTTGTGCATTGCTATAACAACAGAAAATCCTATATGTGTTACTATTTACCAGGTAAAACATAATTCTTAACTCAAAAGAATGTTTATAGTATCTAATTATAATATAAACAGGGCTAAATGCGGGCCAAAGTAGACATAACTAACTTCATGGTTTTCCTTAACAATTGACAGTTACTCAGCTGACCAAGAAATCACCTCCTTTGTGGAACCCAAATGTTCATTATCATTTTCATGAAAGCCCATCATTGCACCCTAGTATGAGTCATGAGCTACATGAATCCAGTCTGTATTCTTACACTCAGTTTCTTCAAGAAGAATTTTTCACAGTAATCAACTTGATAAATCTAACTCTGTAAAACATGGCATTTCATGGGCTTTTTAATGACCTTGTGAGCATTATTAAAATAAAATAAGAGTTGTGTTTGTGTCTGAATTGGGAGCACTTTAGTAACAGTTGAGGTCTGTAAAAACAATGACCTCTGCTAACCTTTTAACCCTCAGACGTGGTTTTACGTGTACACACGCGGGCATTTAAATTAAAGTTCTTGTGGTTTTACGTACAAACACGCGAGCCTCAAAGCCTAATTTAAAACGCCCATAAGTATGGAATAAATAATGCCAGCGCGATGAGGTTTGTTCTCGCCTGTTGTGGAAATAAAGCTCTATGTGTATACATGTGGCAACAGTGGTACATTCCAATGACCTGAAAGGGAGAGTCTAAAAATAAACGCCTGACCTGGTAGTGTACAATGTCTGTCCCTTCGAGAAGTCGTCCTTTGACGGAGCTTGAAGAAATACAAGTTTTAAATGAAGTTTTAGAAGATGATAGTATAAGTGAATATAGTTTGGACGATGATAGTGTATTTGACATTGATTATACACAGTTTGTGACACCGGGAACTGTCGTGTTTAGCGATAGTGATTGTGATAATGGTAGTGGTGGTCGACAGGACGACATCGTACAGGCAGGTGTGGTTTCCAACAAGTTTTTGTGGGAAAATATAGACTCATTTCCTGCTTCACGAGAAGCATTTTGTAATGTATGTGGTCCCCAGTTCGACACTGCTGAACTAGATGTCGTGAGTTTATTCGAAAATATTTTCGATATAGCACTTGTGCAGCACATTGCTGATCAAACCAACAGATATGCTCAGCAAGAAATATCAAAAAGTGCCAATCCTCTCACATTTCGCTCTAGGATTAGGAAGTGGCAAGATGTTACAGTGGACGAAATTTACGTGGTTTTGGCTCTATTTATGTTGATGGGCATTGTGCAAGGCAGGGTTGTGTATAGATGAATGTTTTAAAAACTTTCATACGAAACTGATCTTCTAATCCACCTGCTTCCATTGCTCACACATTGGGTGCTCATCTTATAAGGTAAGATTATAAAACCATCTTTTAAGAGGATTTCGGTGAAAAATTCATAATTATATCTCATATAGTTCAAAAGTTATGAAAAAAAGAGTATTTTACAGCAAAATTTAAACGGGCATTTAAAAAATACTACCGCAGGAACAGCACGACAGCGGTATATGCGGGGTATTTAAACCACCACGTCGATGGGTTAATAGTATCATAATTTTTATCTTAGGATCACTAGTCTGACTTAATCTGCGTTGTTCATTTTGTAAGCAAGAAAACTTTGAATATAAAACAAATATTTTATGTAATACAACTTAGTATTTTGGAATGATGGTGTGAGAACAAGGGTTACACTTCTTCAAGCACAAGTGTATTATTTTAATCCATGTTTATTTTCATGTCAGTTTTCCATTAATGTTTCCTCCTTGGCTGTACTGGGCATAACAGCAACTTATTCACATCTTCACTGTCTGCAAGTATGCTGTTCACAGTCTGCAATCTTAAAGAGTATCATCATCATCATTTTTTCTCCAGTCCATATTACAGTGTTAACAATTTCTGCTTTGTATTTTGATAAAGGAAGTGGGTTATGTGCATTACATCAGTGTTTCTCAGATTTATCTGTAATATTTGAGAATATAATGGCTTTTCATTAAACATATTTTGTGGAGGAATATGCCCCAGAAATTTTATATATTTGTGTATGTGTGCACAAATGTGGATGCATGCATAGTGACAAAATGTTATGGTATTATGAAAACTATTTTTAGATGTATGTTTCTAGTTTCATAACTTTTCCTGATTTTAAGTAGATTTCTACAAGAGTGCTTATAACATAAAGTATTTATTTTATACTCATACATCAGTAATAAAATGTGAAAGTCACAAACCCTATTGGTAATGTGTTTATTGTACCAAGTGCTGCTGTTAATCCCATCTGCTGTTTAAGAGAAGATGTTTTTGCACACATCTCACAAGCTGTTGAATCAAGAGGTGTCTTGCTGATAGTTAGGTGTAATAGAACTTTAATAGCCTGTTACTTTCTTTGAATACTTTTTTAGTAAGTTATGGAAAGTCTGTGTTTACAAAATGTGTGTGTGAAAAGAAAGGAGCATATACAATATCCTGTTGTAAATGTTCTTGTTCTGTCTTCTGAGGTTTATTTTGGCTCATTATTGTTTTGGGAACTGAAGTTTACTGTTTGCTGATTTAAAATCAAGTTTGAACTCTGCTCTATTTTTGTAGGTTAAGAAGACTGATAAAAATGTATTTAAGAAAAAGAGGTCCTGGATGCTTAGTGAACTTAAATCAGTTGATGGGAAGAATATATCTGGTGTAAGTAGATACTAAGAGATTCTGTAGAAACAGGGAAAAGCTCTGACAGGTGTTAATATAATTATTAATCTCTGTTTCATCATTGCAGGATACACATGAATTTGATTTACAGTTTGATAAGGCATTCAAATGGTTTGCCATTAACTTGCAAGAAAGACAAAACTTCCTTATCGTTCTTTGGAAGGTAGGTCATTATTTTATATTAATTAGGCAGTGCAAAGGTTTTACAACAGAATCATAACATAACCTATAAACTGTTGATATCAAGAAAACATGAATGACATTTGTGCAGTCACAGAAGTTGCCTTGTAAACGTCAGTTTCAGTATATGAAAAAGACAAAAGCTTCAACAATAGTCCTTAATATGTGCTATAGACACACAGTTTGCCGACTTTTGCCCATCGTACTTCTCTGATGTGATGGCTCACTTTACTACAAACCACCTTTAAAAAATTTGCCGTTTGCTGTTGCTTATTTCTACCAGCAGCCATATTGCTGCTGGAAGCACTCTTACAGGCCATTTTGTACAACCTCCGCAAGTGCTGCTGTCATAATTTCTTTCACTTCTGCTTACTGGAATCTGAGACCCTTCAAGAGGGTTTTCATTTTGGGTGCAACTAATACTTGGCAGGGGCAAAATCTGGAGATCCAGCAGGTGCTTTGTCATAGAGGAAGAGCCAGTTCCCATATTCACAAAGTGATGTCTACAGCAGTTTGATTCTTGCATACATTATTATTTTAACAACTTGTCAGTTGTTTATCTATGGTCCTCTCAGATGACTTATCAAACATGGACAGTGGTCTCTTGAGTTACGATTGGAGCCACCATTGACCTTGCCTTTCATACGTTATCCATGATTGTTGGCCCTCCTTGAAATGCCTAATCAGTTTGTTTGCTGCAGCCCATCTCATGGTGAGCATTTTCCCGTAGTCTTATAAATTCATTTTGCCTGGTTATATGTAAAACTTAATATTTGTTTTCTCTTCAAACTGTGACATTCTGATGCACTGAAACGTGAATGTAACAGTATTTGCCAAACTGAATACATAGACACTAGGGCCATGCATGCACTTGTACAATAACACACCTGAACAAATCACTGGCCAGACCTTCATTATATATCTATATACGCTCATGTGTGAAGATTCACATGAACACTGCATTGTTCAGTGAATTAAAAAGTATGTAGATTTTCTGACTCTACCACATACATATAATGAGCTGGGATAGCTCAGTCAGTTTAGTGACTAGCTACGGGCTGGACGACCGGGGTTCGATCCCTGACGGGCAGAGGATTTTTCCTCTAGCCTCTGCGTCCAGACAGGCTCTGGGGCCCACCCAGTCTCCTCAACAATGGGTACCGGGGCCCTTTCCCGGGGGATAAAGCCGGCCGGGTCGTGATGCTGACCACTCACCCCCATCTAGTGCCAAGGTCAAGGAAGGGAGGAGCTATACCTCCTCTCACCCCAAGCGCCTACATGGCGCATTGCGGGACAAACTTTACTTTACTTTTACCACATACATGTAATCATCAGAGAATTAATTATATACATATTTGTAGTAAAAACAAATTTTTGTACAAATTTTTTTATTCAGTTTGTGATAGCCGTTTTAATCTTCAAATAACATTTTTCATTGATGAAGACAGGTTTCACCTTAAATGTTGTTTGTGATGTCTTGAGTTAATATTTTTTACACTTCCTGTATGAGTAAGGTATTATATTAAATTTTCTGTCTTTGAAAATTCTGCATGAAAGTTTTAATCCCAGACTGGTTTAATTTCTTGATTTTTATTACTTTATCAGGCCAGTTGCTTACCAAGAGAACATGGTGAATAGAATTGATCATTAGCAGAAGTTTGTAGGAATATATTTATTAAAATGTGTTTTCTATACTACAAAAATTGCACACAGATGTAATGTTACAACAGTTCATGATCATTATAAGGTATATTTCCAGCAATGTTTCAAGCATCTTCCAAAACAGAAGCCGCAGTTCTGTAACCTACCAGAAGATTGGGTTGGAGACACAGGGCTGCTTGTTGAAAATGAAGTGGCAGTGACACCAGGTATTTAACTTTTTAAACCCATTAAATATTCCAGGTAGTATAATCTCCTGTACCATCAGTGTCATGTAGTCAGATCATCAGTAGCATCCTTACCTTTGGGATCCTTTGATTAATTTTCTTCAGTATTTGATATATATCATAATATGAAGTTAGCTAATAAATGTTTAAAAATGTGTAGAATTAAAATACTTGGGAAGATCTTAAATGAACCACAGTGATGAAGGCAATTAAAAAAATATCTGCAATTATTTTTTCCACTTGCCTCATTAGTAAGTTAGACTACTAACAGTTCACAGCATCATAACTTGTGAACATGGCTGTACTACTCTTGATTTGCGCTAAGTAAGAACAAAGGCCTATGATTTATTTTTTGTAGGTGGATGGTATGAAAGGAGCAGAGATTCACTAATGTATATCTGTTCAGTATGGGGAGAGGGAAATTGTTACAGAGTATTCTTTAGTTGCATGACAATGCCTGTGCTTACCAAGGAAACCCCTTTTGAACTGGAACTTCAAGCTGTCAACCACCCACCATGCAGTCCAGACTTTGCACTTTGTGATTTTTATCTGTTTAGATTCCTGAAGGAGGCTTTGGGAAGTCGCTGATTTGCAAACAGTGACGAAGCAAGGGAAACAGTGCGTGACTGGCTATGCACTTCATTTTTCTTGGAGGGGGGTGGGGTGCATAAGAAAAGTTATGGACTGCTATACTGAGTATATTGAGAAGCAGGCAGACTGTGTAGAAAGGTGACAAAACTGTAAACATTTAGGATAAATAAATTATAAAGAAAAATTGTTATAGTAGATACTTTTTAAATTGCAATTCATAATGAATAATCTTCTATTGTTCTGTTTTCCATCTAAAAATGCAGATATTAAAATATGAAAAAGAAAATAAACTGTGATACTATACAGTAAATCATATTTTTGCGGATACATGTAATCATCAGAGAATTAATTATATACATATTTGTAGTAAAAACAAATTTTTGTACAAATTTTTTTATTCAGTTTGTGATAGCCGTTTTAATCTTCAAATAACATTTTTCATTGATGAAGACAGGTTTCACCTTAAATGTTGTTTGTGATGTCTTGAGTTAATATTTTTTACACTTCCTGTATGAGTAAGGTATTATATTAAATTTTCTGTCTTTGAAAATTCTGCATGAAAGTTTTAATCCCAGACTGGTTTAATTTCTTGATTTTTATTACTTTATCAGGCCAGTTGCTTACCAAGAGAACATGGTGAATAGAATTGATCATTAGCAGAAGTTTGTAGGAATATATTTATTAAAATGTGTTTTCTATACTACAAAAATTGCACACAGATGTAATGTTACAACAGTTCATGATCATTATAAGGTATATTTCCAGCAATGTTTCAAGCATCTTCCAAAACAGAAGCCGCAGTTCTGTAACCTACCAGAAGATTGGGTTGGAGACACAGGGCTGCTTGTTGAAAATGAAGTGGCAGTGACACCAGGTATTTAACTTTTTAAACCCATTAAATATTCCAGGTAGTATAATCTCCTGTACCATCAGTGTCATGTAGTCAGATCATCAGTAGCATCCTTACCTTTGGGATCCTTTGATTAATTTTCTTCAGTATTTGATATATATCATAATATGAAGTTAGCTAATAAATGTTTAAAAATGTGTAGAATTAAAATACTTGGGAAGATCTTAAATGAACCACAGTGATGAAGGCAATTAAAAAAATATCTGCAATTATTTTTTCCACTTGCCTCATTAGTAAGTTAGACTACTAACAGTTCACAGCATCATAACTTGTGAACATGGCTGTACTACTCTTGATTTGCGCTAAGTAAGAACAAAGGCCTATGATTTATTTTTTGTAGGTGGATGGTATGAAAGGAGCAGAGATTCACTAATGTATATCTGTTCAGTATGGGGAGAGGGAAATTGTTACAGAGTATTCTTTAGTTGCATGACAATGCCTGTGCTTACCAAGGAAACCCCTTTTGAACTGGAACTTCAAGCTGTCAACCACCCACCATGCAGTCCAGACTTTGCACTTTGTGATTTTTATCTGTTTAGATTCCTGAAGGAGGCTTTGGGAAGTCGCTGATTTGCAAACAGTGACGAAGCAAGGGAAACAGTGCGTGACTGGCTATGCACTTCATTTTTCTTGGAGGGGGGTGGGGTGCATAAGAAAAGTTATGGACTGCTATACTGAGTATATTGAGAAGCAGGCAGACTGTGTAGAAAGGTGACAAAACTGTAAACATTTAGGATAAATAAATTATAAAGAAAAATTGTTATAGTAGATACTTTTTAAATTGCAATTCATAATGAATAATCTTCTATTGTTCTGTTTTCCATCTAAAAATGCAGATATTAAAATATGAAAAAGAAAATAAACTGTGATACTATACAGTAAATCATATTTTTGCGGAGGAACAGAAAAAACCACAGTTTCAGCTAAGAATGTTCTTATCCCAATCATTAACTGAACTGGGTACCTCCTGAATGCAAGTAAAGTGTGTTACTGCTGAACTAAACTGCTCATCGATAAATTGTGAGGGGCAACGAAGGATCTGTGGCATCGAGTGGATTTATCAGTGGAAAAAACACAGTGTTTTTGTAATCATGTTGCAGGTTTCATTGAGCCAGTGGAAGCAGAGGATTACTTGGCTTTGACAGACCGGGAAGAGCAGGATCTTGAGAAGTTGATGTCACAGTGTGAATTTGGAATCAGCAATGCTGAAGCTTTTATGGAAAATCTAGCAAAGGATCTTTCTATTCTTGATGGGGTTTGTATGTTCTGTTGAACATTAGTGGGTTACACAGTGCTAGAAAAATATTTTTTGAAGATGAGTATTGGGTTGAACTGGCCCAGGGTGTAATTGTAGAGTAATTTTTGACCACCTTGAGTAATTATGAACTGCTTGTAGACCATACAACATGGAGTTTGTTAAATTGCCATTAAAACTTCCTGAATGTCATTTTTGTAGGAGAATGTTCACAGTGTGTTGGCATCAGAGCAGCAAGTAGCACAACTGATGGTGCAGATTGAAGCAACAATTGCAGAGGCTGAGCAAGTAGAAGCTCGTCTTGACTCTTACGATGAGGTTCTCTGCCATGTACGAGACACAATGGAAAAGATGGAAGAAAAGAATCTGCTTATTGAAGTGGCAAATCAAAATAATCAGAAACTGCTCTCTGAGCTAGAACAAGTTATTGTAAGTTAATAAACTGCAAGTTGGTTTTCAAAGTTTATGTACTTGTGGTTGAAACTGGATAGTTATCTTCACTGAAGACTTTATCGTTTTACTTATTCTCTCTTTTGAATGCCAGAATAGTATTTTCAAGTAGGCCATGACCTATATTTCCTTATCAGTTCGCTATTCATACTCATATTTTAATGTTATTATCACTTATCTTCAGTTAAAGAGTGTCATATATATTCCTGTTATAAATTAATTCCTGTCTAATTCACGCTTCATATGGTCATTAGAAATTTTAAAAAATGGCAATTTTCAATACTGGTATTGTTCATAGTCTCTTGTATGCCATAAATACACTTGTTTTATAAATTATCAATGTGTATTTTTTACGTCAACAGAAATCTGTAAGTGAAACAGCATTGTAGGAAAATATTGTAATGTAATTTTTTTATGTTTTAGTCTCAGTTGGATTTACCACACAGTCACCAGGTGGCTCTGATTGATTCTGATCTTACGAGTGCTCAGGGCCTTCAGAATGCAGTGGCAGCAGGCAAGGCTTTGTTGGCAGCAATGAATGCTGAGATTCACCCAGCATTGGTACGACTGGCTGCCGTGCAGGAGCAGAGAAAAAGGTTTGACAAGTGGAAGACCAAGTTTTCACAGGCTATATCCAGGCATCTTAATAATCTCTTCATACATCTGGTAAGCAGGGGATACTGTCTCTCTTTGTACACAGTCATTTGGAACATTTTGTTTCTGAATTTTGTAGAATGTACAGGAGTTATTAAAAGCATTCTGGACTCATCTTTTTAGCTTCTAATAGCTTTATTGTATAATTGTTTCAATAGGTATAGACACATTTTTGAGCATTTGTAATTTAATGTACATTCAGTTTGAGTTTCAGTAGAAGTTCTTGTCATTGTTCATCCATACACATGGTTAAACAAATTGTTATATATAGACAGATTTCAGAATTTATCTATGTTGGACAAATTGAAAACACAGTGATGCACCTTTGGGTGACATAAAGAAAGTTGGCTATTCTTTGACAAGCTGAGTACACAATCAACTTTTTAAAGAATTTCCTGCACCATAGAGTGAATGAGTTAGTGGCCAAATTAGGACTATCAACCTCAGTCAGTGTAGTGACTGTCTAATGGACTGGATATAAAGGTTTGGATTTTTGGCAGGGGCAAAGGATTTTTCTTATAGCTTCTGCATCCAGACTTGCTTTAGGGTTCACCCAGCCTCCTATCGAGTTGGTACTCGGGGTCCTTTCCCTAGAGGTAATCCACAGCTGTTGGGTGATACTGACCATTGTACCCCATCTACTTTCCCAAAGCACCTTCATGGCATGAACCAGGGATAGCATTACTTTTGTAGGAACTATAACTTTGAAATTGTACAAGTTATTGATCCATTTCTATGCATAACTGCTACTAATACAGATTCTTACTACATAAAATTTGCAGATATAACATCAGAGTTTGACATTGCTATAATTTCTTATTGTTAACTTATGGAAAAGTCAGTGTTCAGTGTTATAAAAAAATCTGTATGTGTGGTAATAGTCTGTATGCATACAAAATTCCATGTACATGGCTCCAGTGATTACTTGGTTATTGTCTCCACACTAAACAATAAACATAATTGCCATGTTGTTATTTTACATTGTGAAAAGAATTTACCTTATAACTTTCATATTTATCAAAGATCTCTGAGCATACTACATTAAGTGGCACATGTGTAACTGCCATTCCAGAGGAATGCATGACTATCATGTTGATGACAGAAAAGGTCTATCTGTCTTTGTGCTTAAGCACCATGCCATGGAGGTATGAAAGAGTGAAGTTATAACAATTGTGTATTTTAAACCTAGATACTAAATGGAGGTGAATGGACGGTTTAACATTCTGGTCATTTTATACCCAGTGGAAGGGTCCCCGGTGGTACTGACAGATATACTGGCAGAAAAAAGTCCCTGCCTGTCCCAGGAATCAAAGATTGGTTGTGCCAGCTTGAAACCATTCACTGTACCATATGAGGGAGAAACTGAGGAAAGCACGAGTAGCTGGCTTTGTGTGGTGTGGAAATTATCTTCCACACTATACACTGTGCTTCTGCAGATAGTGTAGGAGTGTGGTGGCATGTGGGAAGTTATAAATATACTATTACTGCTTAAATTGTTTATGTTGTGCAGGGTAATGATGCTGGTGAGACTCTGAGTTTTCATGCGAGTGATCTGACTTTACCGAAACATAGCTCAGTCCATCGAGAACTGGAATTATACACAGAATTAATGCACTGGTGCAAAGCTATGGATCGTAAAGCATACACAACTCTCACCAAGGTGTATACCAACTCTCTCAGAAAATTGTATGAACTAGATATCAAACAGTTTTTTGAGGAAGCAAAGCAACAGATTTCAGGAATGAGGGAAAAGAAAGGTAAATATATTAATTGCAGTATTCAGAAGATTACAGCTTCTAATCTCAGCCCAGAGATTAGCCATGTTATTGTCAATAAGGAATGAAAAGAAATTAAATGCTACATGGTTGGGATGGCCTAAAATGTCATAACATTCATGAAAACTGTTCAGTCCATTGAAAATATTAAATAGTAGTATATATGCAGGTAGCATAGCAATTTCATAAGCCTAACTTTCTTTTCATAAGAAAGAAAAGTACTCTAAAAATTAATTGACCTCAATTGTTTTATGATACAGTGCCACTTTTTTCCACATTAAAACCAGATTCAGCAGTTATATTCCCTTACATGTATAATCCACACAGTGCACAACATCCTAACACTTCCTGTTTCTTTAAGTGTATGTGTCTAATCGTTGCAGTTATGTTGTAGTGAAGGAGAAGCAGTTACGTGGTTCAGAAACATCATATTTATTTCTTCCACATAAAACTGGCATGTCAGTAATGTGAGCAATGCAATTATACAAGTTAATACAGCAGTACAGGTAGCCCTCAATTTACGCCAGGGATGTGTTCCTGGACGAACTGGCATAATTGGTGTAAATTGGAACAATTTTATAATGTAAATCAATGGGAAGTCAATGACATGCGTTCCCAGCACCCAAACATTGACGAGTAATATAATGGCATTACATTGAAAGCTCTGAAATAACGTAAATAAAATAAAGGGAATTTAAAAATATATTTTATACACTTGGAATCGGCGATGGCGTGATGAAGCGGCGTTAGTTCTCTGACGAAGTCCGTGGTTGAGGATTATCATGTTTTTTAAAGAAGGCATGTAGTGTGGACTGTTGTGATTTCTTCTTTCTTTCTTTCAAAATTTCAGATTAAATTAGTCCTTTGAAAGTTTAAAGAACCAGGAATGAAATTATACAAGAGCAAACTCGCATATACAAAAGTTTGCATTTCAAAAACAGCTTTTACCGATTCATCGATCTCACTGGAGCAAATTTGCGTTAACAAAACATATGCAATTGCAGAGATGACCGTATATATAATTTTTATTCAAAATCAGCGTTGTAAGAATTACGATTTAGTGTAAGAAGCAGTACGAGAAACATTGTAGAACGTTATAAATAATAGTAAAATATATTTTTATCACTTTTTACTTTCTGGTTTCAAAATCAGCGTTATTCTGAATCGGCGCAAACTGGACCAGCGCAAATCGAGGGCTACCTGTATTTTAGTACAGTTTTGTATCCATTAACTCAGTTTGTATTAAATTGTGAATGTGTAGAAACATTGATCATTTTATACAATTTTTATTATATCGAATCTTTGGTACTTGGTAAGAAGGTTCAAGTTCAATATAATTAGTGTTAACAGAAACCCTTTTTACCAAACACTAATGATAAAACCTTGTAGTATTTAATTTTTGTATTTTACTTACATTAGGGAAAGGAAGTGGTTCTAATCAAGATATTGCTGGGAAGCTGAAGCAACAGGCCCAAAATTTTGGAGGACCCAGCAAGACCCCACCACACTCAGGTCTGCTTGGCGTTGAACGTGACCAGTGGTGTGTTGATGTAGATGCGGATGAGAGACAGCGCTTTGATGAGGTTCTGGAAAGAGCACTGGCAGAACTGGAGCCTGTTTGTCTTGCAGAGCAAAATTTTTGTGTCAGCTTTTTTCAGTTAGATGTCCTCAGTCCAACAACAAAGGTGTGTGCTTTTAATTTCCAAAATGCACTTGGTCATGGACAACAGTTTGTAATGCATTTACAGTGAAACCTCTATCCATCGTTCCCGGAACTATCGTTTTCCCGGATGCATCATCCGTTTTGTTCGGTCCCGGATACATCCCATATGAAATAATGTTACATTTTCCCGCTTCTATCGTTCCTCGAACTATCGTTTTATCGCATCGATCATTCAAAAATCTTAGTCCCGGCCCACAATTTTCCCGCAATGATCGTTTCTGAGAAATTAAAATGCTGGATTTTGAGATAAATTAATACCGAAAGACACACAATGTTTTTGGAATACGCAGTAGCGGTAACCTGTTATGTCGCCCAACCAGCACAGATTCTTTTGGAATGAGGGGTCAGCTGTGCAGGGGTGATAGTTGGAGTGAATGGCGGTGCTCATTGTCAGAAATTTTACGAGTTTAATTAGGGTGCACTCATATTTCGTTCCAGTGATGCCAAATGGCATGTGCAGTGTGAATTTCTTCACAAATGCTTTTATTATAAGTACAAAGGAAAGGCGGGCGACACTTTTCATTCTTCTGGTTCATCTCGTTTCCAGTGGTTCAGTGGTACAGCTACGTTTCGTTGAGTTCGGCAGTAATAGTA